CCTGCACAACCCAACTGGGGATGTGCCCACAACCAAGGTACATGCCCTTGACCGGAATCGAACCTGGGACCCTTGAGTCCGCAGGCTGATGCTCTATCCACTGAGCCAAACCTGTTAGGGCAACATTATCATTTTCTTTTTTCAAAAAGAGCACGAAACTCATTTTGTGAACCAGAATAAGGTCAAGGTAAAATAGTCAATCATTCAGCTCTAGTTCACGCTCCTGGCACCATGAAGATTCCCTTCAATATTCCACAATTTGTGTACAGTAAATTGTCTGATAACATCAGATGAATTTGGCAGTAGCAAGCATATTTATGGAAAAGAATTGATTATCTGTCATTTTATATATACACTTTATATACACTAGACCAAGAGTCGGCAAACTATGGTCCGTGGGCCAAATCCAGCCCACCATCTGTTTTTCTACAGTATGCAAGCTAAGGAGTGTAAAAGTGATTTTTTTTTTTACCTTTTTAAATGTTTGAAAAAATCAAAATATTTTGTGACATGTGAAAATTACATGAAATTAAAATTCCAGTATCCATAAGTAAAGTTTGTTTGTTTTTTAGGACACAGCCATGCTCATCTGCTTCCTTATTAGCTGTCTGCTTTTGCAATAAAATGTTGAGTAGTTCCATCAGAGACTGCATAGCCCACAAATCCTAAGACATTTCCTTTATGACCCCTTCATTAGACCTCAGTGGGTCCTTGGAGGGATTAAAGTTTCCCACTACAGATTTTTTGTTTTGTTTTGTTTCTGAATATCAATACCAGGAGAAAGGTGATGCAGCTGGGACAGTATTTGCAAGGATCTAATAAGCCAGAGAGTAGAGAAGATAAATACTTGAGGATTTCCCCCGCAGGATAGGATGCAAAGCCTGTAAAATCTGAGAGGTCTGACCCAACTAAGAAGCAGTAGAACATAGGGTTTCATATATAGATCCAGCAGCAAAGGAAGCTTTTACTAACTGAGCCACATGGGACTCTGGTGAGATGCAATCCCAAGACGAGTAAGAATTGCTGGCAATGATGTCTGCAAATAGTAGGCAGGTTGAATAGTTGATACAGTGAGATTGTTCCCCCAAAGTACCACACTTCTTTACTAGATGTCCTCAAATCATTTAACATCCAGATTTATCTGGGCACATCAAGTGGCACGTGTGAATTCTGACGAGGAAATGGATCTGAAAGGAGGGCTCTGGAAAGCAGATCCCAGGTACACATTCTTCCCAAACAGTCACATTTCAGTGGGGATTCAAAGCCGGGTAGAATTTGGAAGAATGCAGAATTACCCATGTTTTTCAAAATCAAAGATCAGTGAACATTTTATTCTTTCTGTTTTTGATTATTACCAGTGGGACAGATGGAGTAAGGTAGGGTAGGGTAATGGGTGAAAAGGTTGATAAAATCAATGATGGGATGATCTGCCCTGGAAAGTGTTTATTCTACCAACAAAGGATTGTTCCAGGACAGGATCTAAGATAATAAATTCCTTTTCATTATAGCTACTTGAAACAATGTGAGTTCACAACTTTGTTCTACCTCTCCTGGACTTCCAGCTGTGGCATATAACATTCCATGTGGATTCTGAATCAGAGTGGGGATGGGAAGGGAGATCAGCGTGAAAGCCAAAGAGATGCATTAATTCAGCAGTTCTCAACCTGTGGGTCGCGATCCCTTTGGCGGTCGAACGACCCTTTTACAGGGTTCGCCTAAGACCATCCTGCATATCAGATATTTACATTGTGATTCATAACAGTAGCAAAATTACAGTTATGAAGTAGCAATGAAAATAATTTTATGGTTGGGGGTCACAACATGAGGAACTGTTTTAAAGGGCCAGAAGGTTGAGAACCACTGCATTAATTGATCATTTTAAGCTCAAAAATCATGGTCAAGGCTTGCAGAGGGCCAGCTCTCCTCCCGACAGCCTACAGAGAGCTAGGCTTCACCTCCTATAGTCAGGTGGAGCTCCTCCTGTCAGGGAAAAGATAGCTGCGGAGACAATGGGACTTGGCTGTTATATCTCTAAAAACTTTCATGACTCTTGAGTACCAGAGGCAATCAAATTGCATTTGTACGCCATAAGCATCTATAGACGCAAGCAGTGGGCCTTTTTTAATTAAATTCAAAATATCGTGGCAGTTAACAGGTTAAGAAACTGGGTAACACTGGTTACTGCTGGGGAGTGGAACCCCCAGGGGGTTAAGGGTGAGGAAAGGAGCGTTTTTTTCTCTCTGAATGCCCCTTATCAAAAACAAAAACAAAAGAACACATTCCCCCCATGTTGCCCATCCCACTTTCTAAGGATAGGAAAGCAACCTGGTGCTAGGGCTGGAACAATTTCCTTACTGAGGACTGAAGTATGAGCTGGAAGAGGGATCCAAAAACCAGAAGAGAGTGGAGTTAGTTGCAAGTTGAGTGAAAAACCATGACCAAAAGGGAATTCAAGATCAGCACACCAAGTGACCAAAGTAGCTACTGGAGGGAGGGATGGTCTAAGAACCAGAAAACAAAGAACCAGGGAAACAGAGGAGCAAGAGCAAACTGGTGAAGAATACATTGAGAGATGTTTGAGAAAACCCAAGGACAAGAGCCTGGGGCATGATGATGGGTGGATCCCTGAGACTACAGGATCAGGAGCTCAAGAGCCCTGGGCAACAAGGTGCAGGCCAGGGCAAAATTCACATGGCATCTGGGGATACTCCTAGATCATGCTCTAGCCTAGGGTTTAGTGATTCTGAACAGTCATGTACGGTTTGCTCTGGATGAGTTTTTGGGCAGTAATTTTACTTCCGCAAAATCCGAGGTAAACAGGGTTATCATCTCATTGGGTACTTTCTGGGAAACTTTGCAAATGAGTATTGGGTTCAAGTAGTCATTTGACTTGACTTCTACTCAGGACAGGATCTAAGATAATAAATTAAGTCCTTTTCATTTTAGCTACTTGAAACAATTTGAGTTAACAGTCCTGATTACCTGCTTCCGGTTGCTGTGTCCAAACACTGTATGGGCCAACATTGCTCCTGGTACCCTATACTCCAGCATGGTGTTGGTCCAGCACCTTTGGAAAGGTCACTCCAGCCCTGTGCACAGGATGGGAATAAGTCCAGAAATAAGTTCTCTCAGGACCTCTGTATTATAATAGGTTGAAGATAATGTCTGTAGGTACTGTTATGGGATCCTGGCTCTTGCACAGAAGTACACAATTCTGCAACAATGAACAAGGATTAACATGAGGTTCATTAACCAACATCACCTCAATAAATTCAATGAATTTTTTTTTTAAATATGAAGTTCAGTCACACAGTTGCACTAGACAGCCACAGGGCCTTTGTTCCAGAATGTAGTGTAGAGTGTTTGTGGGGAACCCCGGGTCTCATCTGATGTAGTAAGATGTAATGGTCCAGAAATACAAGATCCTGAAATCGCTAAGTGGGTAGAAGTCTATAAGCTGTTGCTTGGTTTGAGTTTTCTTGCACGTTATCTTTTATTTGTGGGATAAAGTCTAGGTTTCAGAGTGCCTCAAAACTGAGAGATATTAGTGGCAAACTTGTAATGTTTTGAAGATACAGTGAAAGAATAGAACTAAAAATAACTGTTGAATAACAGTAACCTCTATTAACTAATATTGCTTATTAACGTACTAGTTGAATAATAGGAGCTGTTATACGTAAAAATCCTTGGGTAAAACATAGGCATTGGCCAATCCTGTGAAATGCTATTAATAACCAACCATCCTGCACCTCCACCAGACATTCCGAGAGGTTTCATCTATGTGGCATTACTTGGAATCCACTTGAGGAAAGTTCCATTCCATAAGTCCTGGCAGAGAGGCAGGAAAATATAAGGGGTTTGAACTTATATAGATTGCTTTGGGGGAGAAGGGGTTGATAATAATCAAATAAGTAGGTTATTATAAACCTATCCACTATTTATAAACTGGCATAGAGTTGGGGGCAGAGGAGAGGAAGCAAATGATTCCAAATTGTTGATCTTCTGCAATACCATTCTCTTCCTCTTTGGACTTTGCTATTTCAGCCAAAAGTACCATCATTTTCTTACTAATGCAGCTTCAAAGCCTCATGCTGTTCCACCTGCCTGGGAAGCTCTTCCTAATTTCCTAGCCCCATGTCCCATCTTTCCTTATAGATCCAGCTCAAGAACCACCTCATCCATGAAGTCCACCCAGCCCTTGGTGATTCTGTTTCATGGCGTCACACTATCAGTGCCCAGCAATGTTCTAAAAACACAGGTGCTCAAAAAGCACTTGAAAATGTTGGGGATAGTTGCTCAAATCAGGCTGCTGTGTGGGTATCAGCACCAGCGTGCAGACAGCAGACTCGATTTAATGCAGGATCTAGAGCAGTGATGGCGAACCTATGACACGCGTGTCAGAGGTGACACACGAACTCATTTTTTTGGTTGATTTTTCTTTGTTAAATGGCATTTAAATATATAAAATAAATATAAAAATATAAGTCTTTGTTTTACCATGGTTGCAAATATCAAAAAATTTCTATATGTGACACGGCACCAGAGTTAAGTTAGGGTTTTTCAAAATGCTGACACGCTGAGCTCAAAAGGTTCGCCATCACTGCTCTAGAGTGTCACCTGGTCTCCCTCCCCACACAGCACAGCCTGGGTCTGAGTCCCCTGGTTTATATTTTCAGGGATCAGATCCTCCTCTTCCAGCAGAGAAGATACCCAAATGAGTGGGGGTGGGGGTGGGGGTGAAAGCACAGGACTAAAAGGAAACAAACCCAGCTCTTTTGTGAGGGGTAGATCTGTGAGCTCAATATAAATATGGGTTGGCCAATCAATTCGGGGTGGGGGGCGGGAGGGTCACAATGAATCATTTGGGCTGCACTGACTCTTAGTATTGCTCACTATGTCAGCATGACACTCCCTTCTGGACCATACCTCTGGCCCTGACTGTGAAGCAGACTGGAACTGGAGGCCTTCTCTTGGAGTCTTCCCAGATATAGACTCCAGGAGATCCTGTCGCCACCTCTCACTGGTCTGATCCCCAGAATGTTAAGAACATAGCAACAGGACAGCCACATGATCTAAGGCCTGGGCAGTGAAGAGACCCAAACTTGCTAAGCGAAAGAAATCAAGAACAAGCAAAAACTAGAAGTTAACAGCCAAAGGTTCTTCAAAGTTGTGGAGAAGATCAGCAAGGAAGATGGCCGGCCCAACAGTCCAGCAGAATAACTAGGAGAGCCATGGCATGCAGGGTGGTAGACAGGATTGAATACAGACGAGCAGTAAATGAAGGTGCCTAACAGTGACGCAGCTTTCCAGCTCAGGTTCAGCCGTCTGTCCTTTCACCAGGGTGTGAACCAATCCTGAGCTGCCCTGGCGGGAAGGCTTGCTGGAGACCAGGCCTGCAGAAGCTGGCCAGCAGGATAGGGGATTCTGGGATGAGACGCAGGCAGGGGCATTTCCCCACCAGCTTCACACGGGAGATGACTCCATGTTTCAGAACCTGTGACCTCTTTCTTCACACATGAGCTGCTTTTCCTCGTTTCTTTGGAAAGATCCGAAAGAAAGCCAAGTTTCCGAGGTTTAGGATCACCCTTCAAAATACCGCATATAACTTTGGCAGACACTTTCCTCATGTTCAAATTTTCTTTCAGAATGAGTCTAACAGTCTCTTTATCTAAATTTAACTGTTCAGCCATCATCCTCACTGTTAACTGCCTGTTTGAACAAACCAAGTCCTTGACCTTTTGGATATTGTCATCTGTCCGGTGGGTAACTGGACGGCCACTTCGGGCATCATCGCGAACATCTTCCCGCCCTTCTCTAAACCTTTTGTGCCAGTCATAAACTCTGGCCCTCGACATGACTTCATGCCCATAAGCTTCTTTTAAAAGACAGTGGGTCTCACTTGCAGACTTGTTCAGTTTCACGCAACATTTTATACTAATCCTTTGCTCTAGATAGCGGTCACTCATTCTGGCAACACAGGAACGTTAACATGTAACGACTGTGAGGGGAAGACAAAGGGCCCGATCTCTATCCAAAGGGCCCGTTCTCTATCCGGCTGCAAGTGGACTCGGGGTGCTCGCTATTCGTGATCCTCTGGAAGCCTCACCGGAAAGAGTAACTGCTTTTCTGAGCTTTCAGTCGAGGCCGGGGAAGCCCGTTCTGAGAAGCTAATGGAGCCTAAGAGAAGCTGCAAAACTGGGGAAAACGAAACCTGCTACCAACCCACGTCTGCAGACTAAGAGGTGGCATCTTGAGCAGGCAGAGAAGCACCAGCGATGTAAGGTGCCAGCTCGCCCTAGATGTGCAGAATCCCGCGCACGACAGGCCCGCCGGGGAGGCCCAGTGCTCACCCGCTCTGGAGTCCCGGGAGACGCGCCCGCATGCGCAATTCCCTCCTTCGCAGGGTCAGCCTGCGCAGGCGCGTGGCTCCGGGCCCTGCCTCCGCCTCTCCACACCCGCTTCCTCGCGCGCGCCCGCCTCGGGAGAAGTCAGCGGAGAGGAAGGGGCGGGGGAGGAAGACGAAGGGAAGAGAGGGCACCCCCGGGCGCCAGGGTGCATTGTGGGAAGGAGGCGGCAGCGTCCCGGGCGGGCGGGAGGTGCACC